TTTTTTTTTTTTTGAGAAAGGATCTCACTATGTAGTTGAGACTGACCTGGAACTCACTATGTAGCCCAGGCTGGTCTTGAACTCCCAGCAATCCTTCTGCCTCAGCCTCCAGAGTCCTGACATTACAGGCATGTGCCACCATGCCCGGCTTAGGCTATCCATCTTTGCACAAACACTGCCTGCTGGTAAGCAGCATTGTGACTTTGCTGTCACAGCCTGGGTGGGGCAGCTGAATGCCTTTCTCACTTTCCTGTAGGGCCTTCTATGGCAGGGTGGAGAAAGCCTGAGGACTGTGAGCTATGAGCTCTGCTCCCAACTTGGGAGTCACAGAAGTAAAGGGCCTTCTGTCCTGGCCACAACTTTGCTTGTTTTGAGACACAGGGACAACTGGATATTGTCTGCTAGTAAATGAGGGAATGAACATATGAAAAGAAAGGAGGCTGAAGAAAAAAAAGCTCAATGTTCCTTTGCTTCTTATTCAGAGGGATGGAGTATCAGTCAGTACTCTGTAAGGTGAAGGTTGTGTCCAAGAACAGACATGGCCAAGTCTGCCCCAGGCCAGTATGAGCTGCCACCTCATAGCCTCCACACAGTTTAACCTCTGAGGCCAGTAACATGAACTGCTCAAGCTGAGAAAGGCACCAGAAGAGCTGAGGACATACAGAGGCTGAGACCTAGAGGTGGTCACAGTGGAGCCCGGCCCTTACGGAGCCAGCCCCACAAAGCAGAGCCTTCTCTACTCCCTCCAATGACAACTGGTAGGTTTCCAGCCTTCTGGGTAGGAGGGAGACATGCAGCAGGTCCCAAGGGATATGAACCACAGAATGCTAACACAGGAGAGAACACACTTTTCCAAGTTGGGCTTCAGCACTGCGAGTCTCAGACAGAAGCTTTTCCTGGTTGCACAGAAATCAGACAGATGCAGGAATGAGGCAAAATGAAACCAAGGAAGAGCAAAGCTATAGTGGTCCATGGCCACAGCACCCATGTCTAACCCTTACTCAGCCATAGCACAGCTATCCTAAGGGGCTGCTGCAGAGTCCAAGACCAGGCCTTGGGTGGCTGAGCAACTCTGACAGAGATGAAAGGTTCTCTGCCAAGCTCAGTGCTAACATCAGGCACAGAGGTGACCTGTAGGACTGACCTAGCCAGCTCAACAGAGGAAGGTCAGTCCAAGGCAGGGAAACCACAAAGCTCTAGTAACAGCAAGGGGTGGGGGGTCAGCTCTCAGGAGGACAACAGATGGGGAAGAAGCTGTGCTGGGATGCAGCTGGGCTCAGGTTCAGCCTCAGGGGAACGACAAGCATCCCTAACTGTCTTACCTGGTCACATCTGGGGTGGTGGTTGGGTGCACATGCTTCATGATGGTCTGAATCCAGTTCCGCCGGATTCCGGATGTCATGGCTGACAGGGTGAACTCACCCTCCTTTGTCTACAAAAAAGACATAGAGATATCGTAAGTAATCAGATCTAGGAGTACTTGTTGCTGCCCATCTCCAGTGGAGATCCTTGCATTGTGCATAGAACAGTGTCGCAGAGAAAAAGGTTGAGGCTGGAGCATCTGCCAAGGAGAACTGTGTATGCTATATTCAGGACGCTTGAGGCTGGACCTACTCACAAGGGAATGGTAAACTGGCATCTCCTCCCATGTGGTCAGCACATGCTTAATGTGCTCCTACAATGCACCAGATGAGGATGATACATCCATCTCTTTAAGGTGTGCCATGTCCAAACAGAAGGACAGAACCCTGCTTTAAGATGGGTGAGATGTCTGGAGAGGTAGAGCAATGTGAATCCAGGCTGGTGTCCTGCAGCCACACTGCATGGGGTAGAGGGTGTCCTAGTCAGAAAACCCAAAGATGCCTACAGGATATAGTAAGTACTGAGGCGGTGGCAGAGGGGGTAAAAGGAAGGGTGTATGGGGTGTGGATGGCTGGGTCGGGTGGGAAGCCTGTTCCCAATGGGGAAACTATCCTTGGATCACCCAGTGGCTCTGTGTGGGAGCCCCTCAGGTGAGGGGCATGACACAGGGCCAGCAGCTTCTGTGTCCAGAGAAGGATACACTTCAGCACTGTGCTGGAAGCCACCAGGCTGCTCACACAGGCATCCACATGCACACCAGCAAAGCAGTAGGTGGAAGGTAAAATTCTAGAGATGGTCTTGGATGGGCACTAGGTGACAAGGGCCACAACACTTTGAGTCCATGTGTAGGCTGAGCCCACCATCAAGTACAGCTCAGATTGACTCCTCCTCCACTGCAAGCTACGACATGGGCATTGCCAACATTCCTCCTTGGCCAGCTCTTTCTATCCCTAGCTATGGTACTTTCACGGTCTGGCCTCAGCACTCTACTTCATCTCTCCAGATAAGGTCTTTCCCACTCAGGATCACACCTGCCTGTCACGGGTTCTCAAACATCTACTACTAGCTAGAGTTCCAGAGGACCCACCTCCCTGAACAAGTTGGCCACAGCCAGCCCCTTCTCACCTGCCTCTCCTCCTTTCCCTGCTCACCACCACCAAGTTGCCTGCCTGGTTTCCCTTCCAGTGCCCTGACATCCTGCCCAACATGTTTCACTAATACACCAATGCCCGTGTCTCCAATGGCCTGGCATTCACAGCTCTCACGGTGTTACCCCATCTGCCTCTACTAGGCTTCCTCTTCTGCTCCACCAGATCCATGACTGGATGTGGGCACTGCATATTCATTCCTCCAGACTTCGGAAGCCCAGGGCTGAGCCCTCCTCCAGGGAGTCCACTTGTGCTGAAAGTAACCTCTCCCGACTTAAGACTTGCAGCCCCCGGGGCTCTTATCAGATTGGATCAGAGTAAGCTCACCCCAAGGGCAGAGTGAAAGGTCACTGACAGGTGAAAAGGCTACAACTACCACAGGTCCTCACTACCACAGAGAGGACAACTGAGCTCTCAGATAGAAGGATGCCCTGACTAGAGACACCTGAAGATAAAGTTGGGGCCCTCAGGCTTACTGAGCACTCTATCCCTTCCACAAAGAGCAAGCCAGGCCACTGGGGCAGCTTCGACTGTGACACAACTTCCCCACAGAGGTTTTGAGAGGGAAGCCACGACTAGCTGCCCAGGGTCTGGCACCAGGGTTTTCCAACATAAACACACTGGTTTTAGGGGTATACCTCAGTCTCCTCTAGATCTGGTGGGTCTAAGTATCTGAACATAGCAACAGTTGAGTTTCTGAGTTGGGCTCAAAAACTGGTAGCTTAATACATGCTGTCAGTGAGACCACCAGAGTCCCAGCCTGGAGGAAGAAACCAAGTCCCAGAGCCTACTCAGGGAGGAAGCTTTCCACCTGCTACCACTTGGAAGATTTCTGAGAGAGGAGACAAAAAGGCTTTACCCACAGAGGGTCTGGTCTTTTTCCTGCATTTAATGAATGACTGAAGTGACACCATGGTAGGCCTGAAACTTCACCATAACTGACGCTGACCAGATGGCCTGGGGGAGGGGCCAGCTGCATAAGAAAGACCAAAGATCACTCATGACCTCAGAGGAGAACTGAGCCTTGTCAAACCAGTGGACATCTGGCTTAGAGATGCAGACCAACCACCAGGACAGTCAGTCAACCAAGCATGGCAGTCATGAAATTTCACTGAAGACAGGGTGCTGTGCCCCTGGCAGGCTTCCTGGAAATATGTACAGCTGCACATCAAAGCAAGGAGGTCAAGGCCAGAAGGGTAATAAGAACCTTCTAGGTCCCAGGTTTTACCTCACACGTCCCTTCTATTGGCTGGGGATTTTGACTGGTACCTTACTTGTATAATAATATTAATTGTAAAAATAGTGCTTTCCTGAGTTCTGAGCTGAAGGTTGGTTTTTCTGTTTTGTTTTGGTTTTGTTTTTCATTGGTTTTTTGAGACAGAGTCTTACTATGTTTTTCAAGTTGGCCTTGAAATCCCTATGTAGCTCAGCCTGGCACTGAACTCATGGCAATTCTTTTTGCCTCAGTCTCCAAGTGCTGGGATTACATGCATGCAACACCACATCTGGCCTGAAGGATTTTTGGAATCCCCTGAACTTTCAGCTGGTGTTAGAAGTGAGAGTAAATGAGGCAGTCAGGAGGCTGTGCCCTTAACCCTGGCCTGGCTGGCTCCAGGCAGCCCTAATCACAAAACTTTGATGTAATGGCTAACAAGATCCATCTGATCTATCCAATAAAATTACTTTTATGAGGCAGGGTCATGCTTTGCTCACCTGAGGACCTCCTAAGATTTTTGAGATTTAAAAAATTAGGGATGGGGATTTAGCTCAGTGGTGCCACTGCCTGTCTTGTAAGTGCAAGGACTGGAGTTCAACCCCTGGTACCACCCCCCCAAAAAATTAACAAATGCTTTCATTCTAATTCCCTGTATCTATAGCCTTCTAACTGACACAAAATACAACATTAAAAAAGAAAAGAGCCTTTGGGCCAGGGATTTAGCTCAGTGGCACCATGCCTACCTCACAAATACAAGGTACTTAATTTTTATCCTCAGTATCGGGGGTGGGGGAGAAGAGCCTTTAATAACAAAAGCCTTTAAACAGGCTTGAGAAGAACAATGCTGATGTCTTTTTTTGTTTCTATAACACATTGGAGATGGAGGTCAAGAGCTGCAGGACAGAGGAGTCAAGAGTGCTGACCACACATCAAGTCAGGCCTCTCTAAGGTACCCTGGTGGGGACATCAGCTTCTCAGGGACATATCCCTGCTACTCAGGCCCTCAACCCACCTCACCCCTGCACTCACATGTATCTGGAAGCCATAGTTTCTCTGGACTGGATACTCTGTGACATCATAACATGTGGACAAGTCAATTTCCCCATCTAAGTCTGCTGCCTGCAAGGAGAAATGAGAGGGTCTTAGGAGATTTAGAAAGAGCTAAGGTCTAGCTGAACACATATCCATGAATGACTTCCTGTACTGACCATGTCTATAACAGCAATAGACCTTGACCGTCATCCTACCATTGCAGAATCCAGGGCTCCTCCCCTGAAGCATCTATACCATCATTTTTCCATGTATCTGACCAAAGACAGGGCATGCTAGCAGTTCCCAGAGGCATTGATGTCACAATTCCTTTATACTCTTTGAAACTGAAGACCTTCAAGAGATTTTGCGTATCTACCGATGACACAAACAACTCCTCATTTAATGACTGAGTATTGGTACTGTGACTAGGTTGTTAAATGAACTGGTCGCTAAATGATCAACCGTATATAGTATGTGTATTACAGTACTGACAAAGAAATGGTCGAAGGAAAATCTAACTTGATGACTGTGCTTTTATTTGCTTAACTCTTACATGCAGTGCTATAATGTATGTAAAGAAAGGAGGATTTTAACAGCCTTTTCAGGTAACTGCACTGGTTTCCTTTGATGAACTGCAGTTTCTTAAAGGTTAATTACACTGTAGAATCTGATTTTTGCGCTGTTATATGAAAATCCATGGTCCATCCTGCCCTTCGAACTTCTTTTATCCAGGGATGGTTTTATTACATCATGTGTCATTTACTTGGGTAATACTGGGTTGTGCACAACTTCCAAATGTCCACATCATCCATCATGTAGGGTCAATGTTTCTCAGTCAGTCTGCTTTATTAGAGTCTGTAAGTGACAGACACTGTCAAGTTTATAATGGTGAATACAAATTAGTTTTGCTCTTCTCTTTTCTTTTCCTCCCTCCCTCTCCCCACTCCCTTGAGATGAAACTCTCACTATATTGCTCAAGCTGGCTTTAGTAACTCATGGCCTCAAGGCATCCTTGTCTCAGCCTCCCAAATAGCTGGAAACTACAGGGTACACCACTGCCAGCTTAATTTTTTTCTTAAAAGCTCAAACAGCATTATTGGCAATGAATTCTGTCAGTTATTTCCTTGAGGGACAATTGTTTTCTTCTTGATTTACTGTCATGAAAATGTCTATCAAGTCACCACACTGAATAACCAGTTCATATTAGCTGTTCCTTTAAGCGCCAGGGAAGCAGCACCTAGTTTAGTGGGCAACTCAAAATTGTGCCCTCCAAGATAACCTCAAACTTGCCTCCCACACAAATCATAGAATGCTAAAAAGATAGACCTTCAAAACTTTTCCAACCTCATCATTCTGTTTTTTAACATTAAGGATCTTTTAGCTTTTAAATACCATGACGGTTGCAGCACAGTGACCAGCAGTATGGTCCATGGCCTCAGGCTCTATTCAAGGCACTGCTAATACAGTGAATAAAGTTTCATTATAAACAGTTTTGACCATCACACCTCTCTTGAAAGGGACTCAAGACCTTGCTTGGAACTGCAATCTGCACATACTATCAAAAACTTTTTATCATATGTGCCTTTATTTCTCAATTTCAGATACATTACTCTGGCCTTACCTTCCTATCACCAGCATCCCTGCCTGTCAGACTTGTCCAGAGACTTAAATATACAAACCAGCCTGATAATAGATCTTTAGGTTCTTTCTAATATTCTATTGCAAAGATCTGGGCAAGGCTAACCAGAGTCTGGGATCTTTTTCTACACGTGAGGGTATATCTGCAGGATCCCACAGTATACCATGAAAACAGAAGAAGACAGATTTGTCAAATGGTTCAACAACATAATTTAAAAAAAAAAATTTTTTTTTTTTTGCTTTGTTTTTGTAAGTAAAGAAGCCCCTTACAGTTGGTCTTCAATCATGGAGTCAGGACTGTTGAGGGGTCCAAGTAAGTTCCCCCATCACATCCCATCCTTAGCCAGAAGATTGGACAAGATTTAGTTCAGTTCTTTCAATGACTCAGTTCACCAAAAATCTCTTTGTGGAGAAAAACAGGCTGCTCAGTCTGAGTATTCAAATTCAGTATTCTTCAAAGAATAACAACAACAACAAAAAAGAAAGCTGCCAAAATCCACTGCACCAAGGTATCTATATGGTGCCTCAAAAGAGCCCAGCATCCCAGGCAGGAAATCACTTGTGAAGGTGTTGAAGCCGCTCTAGTTGTACTCACTGTCCCACCAGAACCAGATTGGCAACAGGGACAGACACTCTTCCAAATACAGATGAGAACTTCAGTCCAGGAGAGAGCAGTAGCACATAGCAGCCTCAGGGCACCAAGTGCCACCTGTTCCCTGTCTCCATAGGACAAGGCAGCCAAGAAACTCACCTCTTCAGCCACGGAGTCCCTGTAGTATCTCAGGCTCTGATCAGCCAGGACAAACCAGTGCTTTTTCCACTAAAAGGGAAAGACAAATAAAACAAAACTCAACTGCCAGGCAGCATGCTTGTTGCTCTAGGGTAACCCACAGCTAGAGTCCTGGGGCACCTCCCAGAGCACAGGTAAAGCAGAACAGCTGGACCCATATGGCAAAAAGCACACAGATGACTCTAGTCAGGTGGCAGACAGCCATGCACTCACAACCTCAGAGAGGCTTGCTAAGCTGCGATTCCTCTGTGAAAAGGCAGCAGGCAGCTGGGTGGGCTTAGGCTGGGGGCTCTGTGATCCACAGCGTTGGGGCTATTGACCAGTGCTTTGCAGGCCTCGATTCCAGAAGTAGGCTGTAGACAATGTGCCAGGCCCATCACAATGGAAAGGTGGCTGTGAAAATGGCAATGAGAGCACAGCCACTAGGCTGGGTCACAGATGGGTGTGTTCCAACTGCACCAGCAGGAGCAAACTAACCCTCTAGAGTCCCAAGTCTTCACTGTGAGTAGCAAGGAAGGGAACTTGAATCTTCAGGCAAGGCCAAGGGCAGTTAACACAGAAGAAAAAGAGGGGATGTTGGCATAAAGACTCAGAATGGAGAAGAGGAGCTTGGCTGGGCCTAGATGGGCTCAGTTTCTAGGCTTCCAGGGCAAAGACCCAATAGGTTCCTCTTTGCTCTTGGGGGAAGGGTGTGTAACACCACAGAATTGCAGCCCACACAGTTCTTCCTGCTTGAATCTGATGGCAAAAATGGACCACATTTGCTTCCCCCAGAGCCTGATGGTGTCAGTGCAGCAGAGGTGATCTGTGATACCAGTATCTTTCAGCCCTAGGGAACTTTCTACTTGGCTGCTTTGTATGGAAACACAAGCTGGACTTCAATAAAAGACGATTCAAAGTGAAAGGCTATAGAATGTCCCAGGATTAAGACCCAGAAGTGTTGCTGTTAACTGGTGATCCAGCTGGTGCCTTTCCAGGATGTCCACCATAGCAGCAGGGGCTGTACTACTGCACAATCACGAATAGGTAGGGGTCCCTGCCACAGTTGTGGTCCAAGAGTCAAGAGTGTGCAGGATGTAGGAGATGGAGCCAGGGCTCACAGATCCCAAACCAGGGACAAGACCGGTTCAAATTCATACCTGCTTCCTAGCCCTCAAGGCCAGCAGTTGCACACACTTACCTGGCCATCTTCGTACTGCTTGGTCAGCCAGCCTTTCTTGAAATTCAGCAGGTCAGGCTGGGAAAGAGAAAAGAACAGCTCAGCCCCAATCATGAACAGAGCACATCCAACAGGGCTGACATTTTTTACCAGATGAAATGTGCACTAGGAAAAGGAGTTTTGCCACCTGCCAGACAAGCCATGTACCCCCTCTTAGCTTTAAAAATGCCATATACAGGCACTTGCATCCTGAAGAAAGGATATTCCAGGCAAGCATAGAGGGCATGGGCTGTCTGGCTGCCCTGAGAAATCTTTGGTTTTGCCTGCAGGCCTGTCTGGGGCAGAGAACAGGCCCAGGTGTAGAGCCTGGTGTATTGTTTATAAAGGGAAATGAGTGCAGGGATGGTTGAAAAGAGAACACAGAGGCTCTTGCTCAAGCTACAGGAAGACAAAAACCAGTGGCCTGAAAGGCAGAGATCACATCTGGTGTTGAGAAGAGGCAGCAGTACTGTCCAGACCCCCAGGCCACTCCTCCATCAGAAGGAAGTTCAGTCTCCACTCCCACCAATGTGGGACAGAAGACATGCAGGAAGGATTCAGACCCATTGTCCCTACTCCACATACTCCACCTGTATCATGGAGACAGCACTAGGGTGGAGGGGCACAACACTAGGATACTAGCATCCCACCTGGCTGAGGGCCTCACCCACCACACAGGCCACCTGAGAGGCCAGGCCTCAGACAGAACCCAGTCATCTCTGGCCCCAGGGCACTCTGGGCTTTTCTGCAGCCATTCTGGTCAGAAACTGGCTTTGCCACCTCTTAATATTCCAAAGTCAGTAAGGGAGTTAGAACACATGAGAAGTGGTAGGACAACTACCAGAACAGGGTATTCCAAGAGCCACTGCTCCGTCATAGAGATAACAGCGGACGGACTGCTGCCTGACCTAGGATGATCACCACAGATGAGAAGTCCCTCAGCAGAGTCCTACTTTAACTCCCACTTCACACCAGACTGCCTTTCACCAGTGTCTGAAGTATACAACAGAAAGCAACAATGAGGAAATAGGATGCCCCAGTCCAGATAATCCCTTAAAAGGGGAAGACTCTCTTGGGTACATGTGGTCACTGCTATGTAGGAGGCAAGGGATGAAGGGCTGCTCTCCATTCTTCAGGTCATCCGGCCTCACCGTGAATATGCAAGTCATAAAGACTCAAACTTTGAGCTGTGGATGGGTCACTGCAGCCACGGCCTCCTCAGAGGAACAGTGCAGGTGGATCCCGGCTGGTCTCTTCTGACTGCTAGGGGTGGTGGCTACCAGTCAAGTTAACAATGAAACTGGTTTGTCTCAGGGATGAGAGCTGAGGAATCAGCCCAGTCTCCTTCCAAGGCTGGAGAGAGAGTACAGAGGAGCTGGGCCAGCATGTCAAGGCTGTTCCTGCCCAAGCTCTGACCATTCCTTTGGCACTTCAGCCATGGCCACTCTAGGCCCAGTGGGAAGAACTGGGCAAGCCCTGCTTTTCCTCTGTAATCCTGTGAACAGGAAAACTCAGCACGATGTGGCTCCTGCCTCCAAAATACCACAAAATCAAACTCCTCAAACCAGAAGAGAAGACGGTCCCTGCTGTAGCAGACTTCCAAAGTCAGGATACCATGACATGGCCAAGGCAACTGCCTTCAGAGCAAAGACCTCCAAACTATTCAGGATGGCATGCAGTCCCTGGTTCTGCTCAGCCCAGAAAAGCAAGAAACACAGAATCTGCTGCTGGTGAGCTACACGTCAGTGGGTGGGGATACACACGAGGGCTGTGCAGAGGGATGGCTGATGAGGACCCATGGACAGAGATAGACAGTGGCTGAGTGGCCGAAGCTAGTGGCGATGGCAGGTCTCCAGAGAACTTGGCGCATGGCCCGGGCTCACCGTCATGGAGGACTCCGTGGACCTCCTGTCCAGTGACTTGGCTCTTCGGTGTGGAGACAGTGGGGAGGCTGAGGCATCCGATAGAGTAGCTGTGGGGGTTTCACTGATGAAGTCCTATGGCAGAGAGCAGCCGCCAGTCAGTATAGCCCAGGGCAGCATGGGCAGGTGAGTCAGGTTGTCCATCCTTCCTTAAACAGGAAGGGACCTGCCTTACTCCCAGCCAGGGCCAGTGCTGTGTCAGGACCCCACTGCAGGTCTGTGATCACCTAGGTCCTGTGATGCCCTTGTTGGTAGAACACTCTTCTTTCAGATGCTCAGTTATCATTCTCCTGGTCCCACCTATCCTCCAGCTCCTGGGGTCACAGAAGGCTCTGTGGCAGTGAGTGGCAGCTGAAAGTGGGCACCTCATGAACAAAAGAGAAGCCAGGAAGGAAGAAGAACTCAGGCACAGCAAGTTATAGAAGAGACAGGTGGGAGCATGCCCAAGAGAAAGAGGACTGCTGGGCTGACATGCTCCATAGACCAAGCAGAGGAATAAAGGTACAGCTGCTGCCCAAGTCAGGAAAGAAGGCATCATGTTCAGCCTTGTAGCCAGGCTGCCTCAGAGAGGAAGAGAACAATCTAGTTATGACATGGGATCTAAAACTCATTCGAGGCCTCTAGAGAAGGACAGAGCTCTGAAAGAAAGATGCAGAAGATAACTGAAACTCTGAGAGGCTCAGTAACTGGAGAAGACTGGAGAGTGGAGGCCTGATAGAATCACATCCCCAGCTTTAGAAGGGAATGGCAGGGACATGGGATGTGTGAGGTTGTATGGTACCTAGAACCCAAGCAACCCAAAAGGGGCCTCAGTACTCTATTCCCAGGAGCTTACCCGCTTCCTGGGGAATGCCCTCTTTTCACTGCGGCCCTGGCGAGTGTCACTGGACAGGGAGGGCCCGGACGAGAGGTTTGTTTCCATATGCTCTGCTTTTTCAATATCCAATGCCTCAAATTTCTCAATTACCTGGGACCTTCTGCAAGAAAAGACAAGAGGCTGCTGAAGTGAGAGTGAGTCTTTCCTGTTCCCAAGATGGTTTGGTCTTAAATGGAGTAGAGGCTCCTGCAGCCAACCTATGCCAGGCAGACCTGGCTGCTTTCATGGCAGCATCCCCTATCTTTCCTGTTGGGTGTGTGGAGCATCACAGAGCACTGACTGAACTTCCTGGCACAAGGCTCTTCAGCCTGAGTCCCATCTATATTCTGTCCATGAGGGCTGAAACAGTTTGAGGCACAGTCCTCCCTGCCGACTAGTCCCATACTTGTCCCGCCCCATACTGGAGGCCACACAGGCTGCCATGTTGACCCATGTGGCTGTACACATCTTGCCACCAGCACCCTCTCCCGAGCCACAGACATAATCAGAGAGCAACTACTACCTCAGAGGGGCTCTGCACCAATGCATCTCTCCACAATCACAATGCAGCACCCATCCAAATGCACTCAAAATTTAGCAGGCAAGAGGCCCATGAATTAACATTGTTTCTGCCAACAATTAAAAGGAATCAAAAACCAAATTAAACAAAAATAAAGCAGGTTGATTCATATGAGAGGGCCGGCGGCTTTGTCAGGTGGTCTACTGCCGACGGAGCTGAGATGGGAGCGAAGCGGGTGGAGGAGGCGCGAACGCCACAGCGACACAGCAGAGGGCGGAGAGGGCAAGACCTGAAAGAAAACAAGGCTGGAAAATGAATAAACAGAAAAGGACTGCTTTTAAAATCAAATAATGGTAAATTAAAATTATTCAAAGAACTGAAGAAGCAAAAACCCAAGGTGATTGTGGAAGAGGGAGAGAAATCATGATTGTCCCATAGTCCTAGAGTCACCACGATGAGTTAGTCAGGTAGGCTCTCATTCCTGGAGCTGCCCACCCTCTACCAGGGAGCATGGGATTCGGTCTTGGATGTGGCAAAGAACAGTCCCTCTTGCCCAAGGCCTGTACTTCTAGGCACACCTCAATCCCCTCATGGCAAGGGCTTCACGTGAGTTCTAGATTAAGTGGCTAAGAACTGGGGGGAAGTGGGTAAAGGACCCCCACAGCCAGAAGACTAAGACCTAACCAGGTGGAAGGGGAGGAGGGTACCCGCTAGGCGTGGGGCAGCTCTGAGGCACTAGACTCTTCTTTGTCCTCCCCAGCTTCCTCACAAATGTCTCTTCAGCAAAGGGCTTGTGCTGGGCCAGCCTGATGCAGCAGCAGCTGAGGGGGTGGTAGCAGAGGAAGCAGACCAAGAGGAGGGAGCTGCAGAAGCTGCTGGGGTCACTGGGTTCTAGGGAAAGCTCTGATGAGTGCAGGCAAGGCATCCACCACAGGCAAAGCATGTGATGGGCCACGGTGTCCAGTTCCTGCTTGCTGTGGGGCCTACAAAGCCCCAAGAAAGCAGTGAGTACTGTGCCTGGCCAGAAATGCATGCAGTTGCATGCTATGCAGCTCTGGGGCTTCAGGCAGAAGAGTCAGTGGAAAAAGGGAAGGCATTTGCTGCAGCTGCCCTACATGGCCCCAGAGATGCTGTGAGACCACAGGCTCAGGCAACCTATGCCACAGTCACTTGTGTAGGTGGGGCATTACCAATATGGCACTCTTGAAGCATCACAAATGTGACAGTAATCACCTCAATCAGGCAGCACCAACTAGGTGCTGCCCCTGCAGCAACTGTCTTCCCAGAGCATTAACTGCAAAACGATGAGTGAGGGTGGCAGGTCAGGACCACAGGGGACTCACCCTCCTGTCAGTCATCAGCAGTCTTACAAGGGCTTCCCTGCACTCTGCAGCCAAAGACAACTCACTGTCCAAGAATCTACTGCAAAGGATCTGAGTGTCTGAAGGGCAGACACATGGGAACCTAAAGCCTGTCATACTCTGACAGAATTACAGATTGGCTTAGCCAAGGCTTGTCAAAAAACTGACACTTGGTCTTAGCTGCCTGGCTTCAAGGCAGGCCTGTCCTGGCTGCCATTCAGGGGCCTGTGGCTGATTTCCTGCCACTTTGGAAATGGTCTACTTTGCCAAGGGACAAGATCCAATCCAGCACAAGGTGGCCTATTTGGGATTCAGTGAGAAGGCCTCAGAGAGTGAGAGCAGCCATTCAGAGATCATTAGGGTCAGTGAAGGAAGGACAGCCACAGGATTAGAATGCAGAGAAGCAGAGTTCAAGGTGCCATCACCAGCTGAAATCCATGCTCATGGTGGCAGAAAGCACGCAAGAGCAAAGCTCTAGAGACCACATCTCTCCTAGGACAGTAGATGAGAACAAGTAATCTTTGAGAAGTGGCCAAGCCAAGCAGGTGTGTAGAATGTTAATTCTGTGGTCTGCTGCTAATTCAGGACATGGCTATTCCTTCTCAGAAGCCACTACAACACATAGCCTGCTGCCAGCCAGCACAAAGACCCCCTTGCCCATCCTGCTAGCCTCCTCAATCACTAGCAAGACCCTCCACTTGTATGTTTGCTTAAAGGCTTACAAAATGCCATAGGCTCTTGTCCTGGGTCATATCATGGGAGTAGGGACTTTCTAAGTAAGGACTCATTAGCCATTTACTGGGAGTTTCTGAGTAGTGGTTTTCATATATCTATACACTAAGGGTGGCAATATCAGGCACTCTGTTGAGCTACCAGTGAAATGTGAGAACAGCCAAGTGTGTGGACGTTCCACTTCCTCTCTTTTCAAAACCAACCACTCAGTAAACTTTCCTTTTGGAAGTTGATCTGAAGGCCCACAGGCCCTTTTGTCTGGGACTTTAGGTGGGTGGGCTGTCAGCTAACATGGGCTAAGGAAAGGGGCAGGAGATAAGACATACCTCCTCAGACCTGTCCTGTCCTGCAACGAACAAGAGCCCATACGTCTCTTTTTCCCCAAAAGCATGGCTAACTCTGTGAGCTTTAGGCTGTGCCCAAGTCAGGGAAGACACGGAACAATTCCAGAACTTAAGTCTTAATCTCTTTTCTGGACAGGAAAGTTCTTTGGAAACCTAATGAAAACTATTTTCTCCCAGAAAATGTACACATGTACCCGTAAATTACTCTAGGGGAGGGGTCACAAACCTATACATCTACCCACAGACCCTGGTGAGGAGCCCTCTCATCCAGGAAAAGCCCCTCTTTTGAGTGGCACTTGGTTATCTGTCCAGGTCTAGGCATGGGGAAGCCTCAGATGAAAACTTCCCCAGTTCTTAGAAAGCTTGGGTCAGTACAGCAAGGGAATGGCAGGCAGAAGCCTCCTCTTCTTGGATAGCAGTAAAACCTGGGTCTCTGCCCTTGGCCAGGCTGTCCACACCCTACTGCTCCCCAGAAGCAGGGCTCTACTCTGCCTCCTCAATTCAGCCGAGGGCAGTAGTGACGCCATCAGGTATGCGCTAACTTCACAGGCCTACTTGGGTTTCCCTGTGGTTCACAGGGATTATGTCCTTAAGGGACATCCATCCTGGGACTGCCAGGTAAGGAGGGCCTGTCCTCACCTGCAGTTCTAGCATCATCTCAGAGAATACAAGTGGGCCGAGAAGTACCAGATCCAGTCCTATATTAGGCCTGTAGCTTAAAACCCCTCAGGGCCCCTAAAGGTCCCAATCCCGGAGGCAGTGACCACAATAGCCTGGGCCTCTGGGTGCTCAGAAATCCTGTATCTGGTTGTCAGGAGCTGTGTTCTTGAGTTGGTCAAGAGCCTATAGGGAGAGGTAACATGTACTCTGAACAGAAAGCATTTCTCCAAGGAAGCTTAGGGAATGTGTATGTGTGCGCTTGTGAGAATGTGTATGCAGGCGTGTGTGTGTGTGTGTGTGTGTGTGTGTGTGTGTGTGTGAGCGCACATAGCCACATGACAGTACAGCCATCTAATTCCTTCCTTACCTCCGTTCGTTGCCAAATAGACGGGCCACCTCTTCCCTGCCAGGGCTCCGGGCCCGAGTTCTACGCTCCAGTCGCCTTCTCTCCACCTGGAAGGCTTCTCGGTGGCTGATCCTGATGGCCTTAGGGACGTCGGCCAGGGCAGCGTACTGCCTGGTGGCTTTAAAGGCAAAGGTGCTCCCCAGTCTCTCTGTCCCCCGCCCCCCTGTGCTGCTGGAGTCCACGATGGCAGAGGGCCGGCTGGCCTCTTCCAGGGAGCTGAGAGAGATGCTGCAGACCATTCGGCTGGGGTCTCGAGGACCTGAGAAGTGAAGGGGATGACCAAACTTCTGGGAGGGTGATTTGGGATAACTGTACCTGTTGTTGGGGGTGCTAGGGCTAGGAGGGGAGCGTGGCAGGGGCAATTGCTGCTCCTCAGCCTTCAAGTCCTGCTTGGTCTTTTCCAGTGAGAAGTAGCCACTCTCCACCCGCACTTTGCGGCCACAGTCCATGCGGTCGCTACTCATGGCGCTCTCCTCTGGAAGAAGGGTTAAGAGAAGGTCAAACTCAGCCTGCTGTGAGAAAGACCACACAAAGTCCCAGAAGGGGCTATCTCACCATCTTCTATCTCTAAAACCCACTGGAGATTGCTCAAGGGTAGAGCTGGAAGAGAAGAACCATGGAATGGAAATGGACCATTCTCTCTGTATTTTTTCCCTCTCATTCTCCTTTCCCTGGAAGCTGGTCCAGATTGGCAGGTGGACCCTTTGTGTTTAGGTGGGGCTGGGCAGGGAGAGCAGGACTCCACTCCATGAAGAAAGACATTTCACCAACTATTTATCAAATCTCCAGAAGGACACCAATGGCCAACCACTTTTTCAGGCTCACAAATTTGGTGTGGAAAGGGGTTGTGGCTTCTGCAGACATGAGAGAGAGTGAATAAATTGTAAATGGGATGAGTGTGGTGTGCCACCAAAGAACTCAGACATGTGCCTAAAGCAAGTGTAAAATGCACTCCAGCTGTGAAACACTGGGCCATCCCCTACCACGCATGATCTGAACAAAATACAAACGGGGAAAGCCAGCTTGCTGAAGAACCTGGGTTCTGAGACTAGAAAGGCAGAGACAAAAACCCCTGCAACTGCTTAGGCAAGTCCAAGAGCTCAGTGGAGAGGACACAGTGATATCAGCTACTTCCTATCCAGAACTCTCTTCCCTCAGTCTTGTCAGGGTCCAAGGGGGGATAGGGATGGTGAGGAAAGAAACAAGACCGTCCTAACCACTGCGTGGACAGTGTGGACATTGTGGGCTAATACAGCTATAAGCACATGATGCAGGGAAGAGGCCTCCTCACATATGGCCCTTGCTACATAGCCTTTTTTATTCTTCTGACACGTGCCTGGGGTTGGCAGAGTAAGTGTTGCTTTGTTCTTTACAGACGAAATTTAAAAGCTAGAAGGGACAAGGCCAAGAGCACAGTTGATGCACAAAAAAGTGAGGTCCAGGGCCCATGACAGGGCTTTGTAGGCGCCCTAGTCCACAGTGTTAGCTCCTGTGGGCTGGAAGGCCCCATGAGATGGTATACTGGGACATGCAGGCAGGCCAGCCAGGCACCACTCACCTTCTTTGCTTTCCAGCCCTGGTTCCCGCAGGGAGCTGGCAGAAGAAGGCTGGCTCTGGCTGGGACTCTGAGCTGGACTTAGGTTGCTCCCATCAGGCTGGTCCTTGGCCCTCATTTCTTCCTGCCAGAGCGTGGACTTGGTGGTGGGGACTTTTTCTGCACTGGGGATGCTGCTACTGTTGCTGGTGACAGCCACCTTGGCAGGCCCGGGCTCCTAGGGAGACAGTGGTGTCAGTGGGGGCATGTGAACAAACAGCCTGAGCTGGTTAACAGGTCTTGGTTACCCAGCTATGGGGACATCAGATCAGCTTCATAGTTTCATAGCCTGGGAAACCCCAGAAAGGGCTCCTGTGTAACTGGAATGTAGGAAAAGCTCCTCAATGGCACAGTGGCCTTCTCACCTTTGGGGCTCTGCAGTGACTGATCCAAGTGGCTTTCGGCCATTTTAGCAAATGTAGAGAAAAGGACCCAGGTTTCTTCCAGAGTTCTCTCACCAAACAGAACAGCTCTCTTCATCCATGCAACCATGCCCAGAACAGTGACCCAGATGTCAAGGGTAAAACCAAGGAAGCTGGTACACAGTCCATCATTTTTAGACTTCCAGGTACTTCAGAAACCAATATGTGGAGATAGGACAGGACAAGTGAGAAGAATACGCCTTGAAGTCAGGCCCATGTCATCTGCAGAGCCTCAGTGAATGCAAGAGCAAGTTTCCATGGCATCTAAGCCTGGCCAGTCCTGTGGCCTCACCCACCTTCCACCTTTTAACCTGAGGAGCTAAAATGGAAATCCCAGACACTATATGAAGAAAAGATTCATTAATGTAAACCAAATGTTATGGCCTGGATGTTTGTGCCACTCCCTCCCCCAAATTTATGTGTGGAGATACTACCCCATCAAGGTGAGGGCATTAAAAGGTAAGTGATTTGATCATGAAAGTAGAGAGGCCCCAGAGAGATGCCTTGTCCCTTCTACCATGTGAGGACCAGGAAGTGGGCCCTCACCAGACGCCAGATCTCCTGAAGACTTGTCTTAGACTTCACAATCTCCTGGGCTGTGAGAAAATAAGGGCTTGTTGTTCAAGCTACATAGTCTGTGGTATTTTGCAGCAGGAATGGACTAAGACGATAAATATCCCACTCAAATCTGCAAACATATGTACATGCTCACACACATCTGTGTGCAAATGTTGTCTTACACAAGCTAGAACCAAGGGAGCAATCTGGACAGGAATGGTGTCAATTTCCACTTACCCAGGGTATAGAAGTGGTACTGTCTCAGAGAGAAGAACGTGTAGGGCAGCTACCTGGACAGGGAGTATAGCTCCTAAGTATGCAGAGAACTGAACTCTATAAACACACAGTCCTGATGAGAGTCCATGCTTTGTTCTGGAGCTGGAATATCCCCTAAAGACCCAAATTCTGAAGGCTTGGTCCCCAGCTGGCAGTGCTATGGGGCGGTGGTGGAACCTTTAAGAGGTGGGCCTAGTTGGAAGACATGAGTTACAAGAAGCGTACAAGAGTATATATTGTTCCTGGATCCCTCCTGCTTCCTGGCCACCACGAAGTGAACAGCTTTGCCCTACTACATGCTCCCAGCTGTGATGTGAAGGCTTAGAAACAATGGGATCGGCAGATGATGGACTGAAACTTCTGAAACTGTAGGCCAAATAAACTTTTCTTCCTTAAAGTTGATCTTCTCAGGTACTGTCATAGTAATGTAAAGCTAATAAACACAGTAAGGCTGCTATCCCCACCTGTCTTGCAGAGCCAGATCCAATCCTAGTCCCATCACCTGGCTGGGGAGGGAAGCTGCCAACAAGATGACTTTGGCCTCTCTCAAAAGTAAGGCATGTCAGCTTACCAAATACAGGGCAAGGGTGACACACACTTCTCCCTCCCATCCTGGTGGTCCAGCCTTATTTTCTGAAACACCTCTGAAGCTACCTCTGGGTGTGTCCCTTATGAAGATCACAAATGATCAGGCAACGCACATGTATTTGCACACACTTGCACAGACCTAAGGTGATCATCAGATTATCTGTTAATAAGCAGGTCAGGCACAGTACTACCCAGGCTCACCAAACGTGGTAGGGGACTGTAAAGATGAGTGGAGGTAGTGCCTTTCTATGTGCATGGCCAGGGAGGAAGAATGGGGGTCCGAACATTTCTACCACTATGTGCCCCAGAACAGGAAGAAGGATGGGAAGGGGCAGTAGCCTTGGAGGCAATGCCTGCTCCAAAGTTGTTGCCAGATTTGCATGGATCCTAGGCCTCACTGGATGAGATCAAGCCAGGAGACTCTTCCCAGGGCCCAGAACCTATACTTGATCATACAGAGTCCGAGTCACTGCTGACTTTCAGGCTTGAGACTGAAGAGGTCAGCTTCAACTTCTTCAAAGTTAGGGATGCAGGGTTCTCCTGACAGTTTCTGAAGGGCTCCAATGGTATGTGGAGATCAGCCCCAGAGCCACCTTTCCCTCAGCCAGCAAGCATACTACCCTGAGCAGATGGTGGGGAAGCCCATTCCTGGGGAAAGACACTTTTCTTCTTCTGAGCAGGTAGATGAGTCATCTGGCTGGGCTGAATATAGCCATAGGGACCTTCCATTCCTACAGTGTAGGACACTGCTGGGCTCATGCTGCACCTGGGTTTTCTTGGATGGGCAGCACTGCTCACAGCTGTCAGTACCCCAATGAAGTCTGTGCTGTTTGTCAGAGAGAAAAATAGGATATGGGCCCCTCACTCTCTTGAAGAGTGTCAGAGAAGGCCTCTCTACTTTCCTGGTATGAAAATGGAAACGGGGACCCCATAGGAATGGAGAGATCTGATCTTGAGTGGGTGTAGCAGATACTTCCAGAGAAAATAAGATTCCTAGGTAAGAAGTAGCCAACATGTGCACAAGTTGTTGGTGGTGGGCTCACAGACAGGCTGGCTGTTTTATGGGTTTTTGCAAAGGGCCAAGAGCCCAAGGCTAGGGGAAGGGAGGATCCAGCCTACCTCACTGAGGACTCCTGTCCTGGTCATATCAATGGTGGGTTAGTGCTTCCCCTTATCCCAGGCTCTATCTTTCTTAGCCATATGAGGAGCCTGTGCTTCTCAAGCCATGGCTGTGGAGCTCTGCTCATGGTTGGGCCTGTCTCTTCTCTCTGCCTTGGGTTCTGTTGGGATCTCCTCCCCAGACTGCTGTCTGTAGCTTGATCCATAGGCCCCACCTTGAAGACAAGACTCTCAGCTCTACCTGTGTTCCTCCAGAGCAGTGGCTGCATCTAACTAGATTCAGCAGAGACTGAGGTTTAGCCCTCCATAGCTTAATCTGAAACTCTCCTGGGCTTACAGATAGCTGTGGAGGAAGAGCCAGGTATAAGATCTCAGGTTCTTGCCTCTATAGGGGCCCCAAAAGTTTAAGGCTCACTCCATAGCCCAGCCTGAGCCATCTGAATGCTATCAGAATCAGGCTGCCAGAGATAAGTCGTCTCAGGGACTATGATCCAAACCCATGTCAGTGGGGGAGAGGGGACAGCTTCTGATCAAAGTTCACAGGTTTGGAAACCAATGGCCTCAAATAGGATGTTTCTGGGATCAAGAGGCAGAAGAAAGTCTCTGCCAGACCAGTTTAGGAAAGGACTTAGAAGAGGAGGCTAAGGTGGTCCAGGTCCCTGGCCCTACACCTACCTGTTCAAAAATGCCATCTAGTATAAGAGACATGCCCTCAGGGAAAGGGGTGACCCTCCTCCATGCCCTGGGATCATATGGCTTCTACCAACCAAAAAGGTAGAGCCTGACCTTGGGCAGCAGCACTTGAGGGTATGGGGTCACAAAGTCACAGGTAAGGAAATAAAACCAAATACCCTGGCCTGGCCCAAAGCATCTCCTGCAAATGAAGTTTGGTAATTACTTGGAGGCAGCTCTGCACTGAACTATTTCTAAGGCATCACCATGGAAATATGGAGTAACCCCAAACACTGTTCTGCCTACAATTTTTTTTCTCAGAACAAGCAGCTTTATAAGATTTGTTTATGAACTGCTGTTCCCCAGCAGGAAGCTAAATTTTCAGTCTTCAAGAAGCACTCTGTATTTTTTGCAGACTTCTAATCAGGGACATTTCCCTTTTAGGGGATGATGGTGTGGTGCCCCGGAGATTCCTTGGGGAAGGATAGGATAGAGGTGGACGTCCATTGATTGAGGATGGGCCCAGGCTGTGCTGTACTGGCATGTACCTGGTCCTGCCCATTCCTGGCCTCCAAAGGCTGAGGCAAGCAGCCAGTGAGGACTGCCCAGCCCCAGTCAGGGTGTCACAGAGACAGCAGGGTTTCACCATCACCTAGGTCTCTCACCTTTGGACACCCATCTCAATCTGTTCATTCTCAAGGGGCTGAGAGGCTCAATTCAACAAAGGAAAAAAGCACTTGGTGAGGGTTAAAGCTGGGTACAAAGGGGAAAAGATTAGCATTTACTAAATACTTACAATGGACCTGATGGTTATTTTATTTTATTATCCCCCCCATGGCTATTTTAACAATTAAAATAGTCCTAGCAACCCATTTTGAGCTAGGTATGGTGCTGTGAACCTGTCATCCCAGCACCACAGGCCAAGCAATCTAGCGACTAAGAGAAATCCTTTCTTAAAAAAAAAAAAAAAAAACACCCCTTTG